CAAATATTTTCATGAAATGGAAACATAAAGTTGTGACTCTAAGGAAAAGAAGGTGTTTTGGTGTATTTGAAAGAACTTCAAGTTCAGGAAACCAGAAGTCTCGTTCTGGTTTTTTCAGTAACTGGGCTTGTGGCTTAGAACAAAGTAGTTATCACTCAATTTTTGCTTTTGTGATTTTATTAAGCCACTTGGTTTTAGAAAATTCGAAAGGAGTCATTTAATGTGTTCAATGACAATCTAGAACATTATTAAAGTAAAATGATCATATAACTGATTTTCATTATACTTAACTTCTTCTTTAACAGATAATTCTAATCAGTGACCAGATTATATCTTTATAATTAATTTCACTAAAAACTCAGTGTCAAACCTCCTGGGAGGATAGCTTGCTTTCTTTTTTTAAAACAATTTGTGAATTGTGAATGAGGTGAGGAATAAAAGCAGATAATCAGTTTTATATTCAACAGTCCGTGCACATCTTGTTTCTCAGCTTGCCCGTGGGATAGCTGTATTTCATATCAACATGCTAGCTGCTCCCTGTCCTCTTGAGTCGTGCTTGCTTTCGGTCACTTCCATGTCCAGTACTGTGAAGGGCACGACTGCCAGGACAGCAGATCTAGTACATTTGGCCTCTGGACAACATGGGGGTTAGGGGTACAGTTGAAATCCAGGTCTAACTTTTGATGCCTCCAAAACTTAACTACTAACACTTTCTGTTGACCAGAGCCTTACCGATAACACAGTCAATTTTCACACATATATATGCGTGTGTACCCACAGAAAAGGCTGCATTTTCAATGTGAGATCAAAAAGTATTTTGAAAAAATATAAGATTTTCATACTTGCTGGCATAGCTGCCACTACTGCGTCCTGAATTTCCTCTCTTTTTTACTATGCTCCTCAGGCTGTATTAATTTATCTTAAGTGGCAGGCGACTGTGGCTGCACACCTACAATGGTGCATGTCAAACAGTTTACTTTTTTTTTGAATACCAAGACTTTGTGTCTTGGGAGCACATTCAGTATCACTAGTGGCACTCCACATGGGTCCCTTAGTGTGCTTTAAGGTTTCTGGGATTATACTGAACACACACACAATTATGAGAGAACTATAAGAGATCACTTCACTACTCACATGGAGAGAAGGATTAGTGCACAACTTAAAAAAATTACCTATGTGTAAGTGGACCTGCACAGTTGAAACCTGCATTGTTTCAGGGTCAACTGTATCTCTTAGGATTGCTGAAGGATATATAAAATTTTTTTTAAATCATTTTATTGGGGGCTCGTACAACGCTTATCACAATCCATACATCCCATTGTGTCAAGCACATTTGCACATTTGTTGCCATCATCATTCTCAAAATATCTACTTTCCCCTTGAGCCCCTGGTATCAGCTCATTTCCCCCCCTCCCTCTCCATTCCCCCCTCCCTCATGAACCCTTGATAATTTACAAGTCATTGTTATTTTTTCATATCTTACACTGTCCGACGTCTCCCTTCACCCACTTTTCTGTTGGCCGACCTCCAGAGAGGAGGTTATATGTAGAGCCTTGTAATTGGGTCCCCCTTTCTCCCTCACCTTCCCTCCACCCACCCAGTATCGCCACTCTCACCACTGGACCTGAGGGGTTCATTAGTCCTGTATTCCCTGTGTTTCCAGTTCCCATCTGTACCAGTGTAGATCCTTTGATCCCGCTGGATTTTAAGGTAGAATTGGGATCATGGTAGTGGGGGGGGGGAGGAGGAGAAGAATTTAAGAACTAGAGGAAAGTTGTGTGTTCATCGTTGCTACACTGCCCACTGACCGGCTCGTCTCCTCCCCGAGACCCTTCTGTAAGGGGATGTCCAGTTGCCCACAAATGGCCCTTGGGTCCCCACTTGGCACTCCTCCTCATTCACAATGATGTGATTTTTGTTCCCTGATGCTTGATACCTGAACCCTTCGACACCTCATGATCACACAGGCTGATGTGCTTCTTCTGTGTGGGCTTTGATGCTTCTGAGATAGATGGCTGCTTGTTTACCTTCAAGGTTTTAAGATCCCAGACGCTATATCTTTTGATAGCTGGGCACCATCAGCTTTCTTCACCACACTTACTTATGCCACCATTTGTCCTCAGCGATCGTATCAGGAAGGCGAGCACACAGTGAAAGGTTTTATCCTTCTTTGATGCCTAAAACCTGATCCATTCGACAACTCGTGATCATACAGGCTGGTGTGCTTCTTCCGTGTGAGCTTGGTTGCTTCTCAGCTAGATGGCTGCTTGTTTATCTTCAAGCCTTTAAGATCCCAGACGTTATATATTTTAATAGCTGGGCACCCTCAGCTTTCTTCACCACATTTGCTTATTCACCCGCTTTGTCTTCAGTGATCTTGTCGGGAAGGTGAGCATCATGGAATACCAGTTTAATAGAACAAAGTGTTCTTGCATTGAGGGAGTACTTGAGTGGAGGCCCAATATCCATCTGGTACCTTAGTACTAAACCTATAAATATATGCACATAGATTTGTTTCCTCCTCATCATAAATAAATATATTTACATATGTACATGACTGTATTTAGACCTCTATAAATGCCCTTTACCTCCTGGTTCTTTCCTCTATTTCCTTTGACTTTCCTCTTGTCCCACTATCATGCTCAGCCTTCATTTGGGTTTCAACATTTCCTCTCAGTTACATTACCCTTGCTCAAGCCCGGTATACCAGGCCTCCTAAACCCTCCTCGCCACCAATTTTGGACCACTTGTTCCCTTGTCCCTGAGTTTGTTAACACCACTTCCTTCCCCCCACCCACTAACTTCCCCTCTCCCTGAACAGTCAACCCAGTTGTTTTCTCCTCCAGATTGTTTATCCAGGGATGCTCCCTTCTTGATTTGCTCTGTTTTGGGGGGTTCAGACCATGCTGCTTCCCCATCATGTGACCCTGTCACAGTCTGCCCTACTAAAGGGACAGCATGATACCTGCTGTCATTTGCACAGTCCCCTCTGTGTCCCATTATCCCCTAGCAGGGATGTCATCCTCTTGAGCATCGTGTGCCAGCGTGGGGCCAAGTCTGACTCTCTTTCTCTTCCTCCCTCCATGCAGGTGTGGCATGCTGGGCCCTCTCCCCAACCTGCTGTCTGCCAAACCCACTTCCAGGGAGGGTGTCAGTTTGGCTCTGGTTGAGGCCAGCCCTGGGGATATAAAATTTTTATTTAGTTATCTTCTGTTTATTAAGTAGGACTATTGAAATTCTTGATCTAAGGTCATAAGAAAAAATCTCCCCCCTCATTTATTTTCAAAAATTTCAACTCTATTGGAAATAGTTTTAAAAGTATATATCCAGATGCCAGAAGTTAAACTGCTTTGAAAGCCTACTTTTGCCAAAACTAGGTTTCCTCTAAATGTAGTTTCCCCCTCACTTTATATTATATTCATATTGTGTTTTGTTCTTTTTGATAAGCCCTTCTTGGTCGCTCTCTACCACTTCCCCTTTCTAATCTTAAGTTACAGAACTATTAGCAAATTTTTATTAGTTTGGCATTAGATAAATTTCTCTTTGGTAGTCCTAGATTAAGGCTTGGGCTGTGTTCCAGGATCAACAACAAAAAATAATTTTAGTTTCCATGTACTGAATACCTAGTAGGTGCCCTTGGGAAACCTGAGTAAAGAAAGTTAAAAAGTGGAAGAGCCTCATACTTTTTTCTTACCAGGTAAATTATATTGAAGCTCATCAGCTCCCTAAAGATGGTGAAAACCCAACCCCTTGCTCTCAAGGTGATTCTGACTCAGGTGACCTTAGACAACAGAGTCGGGCTGGCCGCAGCTTTTCCCAGGCCACAGGCTGTGTAGAAGCCAACTGTCAGTCAGGCATTCTCTCGAAGAGCAGCTGGTGAAGTCAAGCTGGTAACCTTTGCATTTAACCACTGCACCACAAGGGCTTCTTCCAAAGATGTAGAATATATGCATATCCCCTATTTTTACTCTGCAAGAAATTGATGTCAGCAGTACTACTAGTGTAGCTACTGCACTGACCAGGTTCCTGGCACTTCCGCTAGACCCTGGCTCCCCCATGGTTCGGCCTTTAGAGGGCCTGGCCTATGTTTTTTGTTAATGCAATTCATTGAACCTTTTAATTTGTCTAGCTGACATCTTACCTGCCTAGTACATTGTCTTCTTTTGCTTAAGAAATTTAAGGGAAATAGATTCCTCTTAGAGAGATTAACATTTTGAGCCAAACTTGAAATATCTTTTACTTTAAAATAGGAAAATAACGTTTTCCCTGTATTCAGAGCTCTGAAATGTTCTTAGCAATCTCTGAATATGATGCAATTGGTTAAAATAATAAGATCTTACTTATTTGTGATCTGAGTACTGAGGTAGTTAGTTTATTGTGCCAACCTGGCCGATACATACATGTGGGGTTAATTGAAGGATGGAGGGATAAATGGGTTGGTGAGCCTCGCCTTTTGAGTTCTCGGGTCTCTTGCTTTCTGATGGTCAGACCAGGGTGCAGCTACCATAGCCAGTTCCCTGCTTTAGCTGGCAAGGTTCGCTTCCTGCAAGACATCCTTGAGGAGAAGCCAGATGGACCTACCCCGATGCAGCCCTGGGTGCTGGAGAGCCGTGTGGAGACCCCGCCAGCGCTGAGATGCTTACACATTCACTGACTCGGCTTTCCTCCTGCAGTTGGCATCATTGCGTGTTTTGTGCGATGGAGGAGGACTTTGTGGATTGGCGTTGGACATATGGGTTAATGTGTTAATGTTGGACTCGTGGGCTTGGGCAGCACTGGGTTAGGATGTTTTCTTGATGTGTACCTAACCTTTATATAAAACTCTCTATTATACATGAGTTTCTGTGAATTTGTTTCTCTAAAGTACCCAGACTAATACAAGTACATTCTTCGAGTACATTCTCAGATGTCCCAATAATTGCACACCTTTCCCCCTCAAACTACATGGAAAATTTTTTGCTAATGCCTAATATCATTTACTCTGATTTTTCTTCCCTTAGCGGATCTGAAGAGAACAATCGCTGTCCTTTTGGATGACATCTTACAACGCTTAGTGAAGCTGGAGAGCAAAGTCAACTATATTGTTGTGAATGGCTCCGCTACTAACAGCACCAATGGTACTAGTGGAAATCTGGTGCCAGTAACCACAAATAAAAGAATAAATGCGTCAGGCAGCATCAGATAGCAGTTGAAGATCACCTTGTGCTGCTGTGTCCACCATGGATTATATCCTCTGACAGAAAGCTTTTTAATGGCTGGTTAGAAGACAGAGTAGAAACCTGTCAATAAAAGCTCTATGCATTTTCAAGGAGTATGCTGGATTCATGGAACTCTAAATTCTGTATATAAAGTTTGCTTTCAGGCAAGTCTGTTCAGTGCTGTATTATATTGTTAAAAGAAATTTGGTAACATGGTTGATGTAGTAAGCAGGTAGGTGATCTTTGTATAAACCTTTTTTGTGTGTTTAAAATTCAAGTGAAACAACACTGAAAGACATGGTTTCATTTCTATATTTAAAATAAAACTTGCTTTTCAGATAAGTGGAGAATATTGTCATTGAATTATTCTGTCACTTGTTCTCAACAGATGTAACCGTTTGACTAGTGCTTTCTGAAAATGTGCTTACTTCCACTACTATATTTGTTACTCAGATTATGGGCAAAGAAAGGAAGCATAATGTTGAAAGTAATGTTTTGAAATTATGACCCAAAGAATGTTTTCATTTGCACTATCTTTCAGAATACCTGAAAGTTAATTATATTTTTAAAAATTACATTTGTAGGTATATAATCTTGAAATGGGTAGCAGCCACTGTCCGTAACCTATTTGAAAATGGGGGCAACTTAATAACAATGTCACAGTAATTATCTCTAGACTCATAGTTAATACTTTCTTACATATATTCTAAGGAACAGAAGATATTTTTATGATGAGATTAAGTCATGGTTTTCATATTCATGAAATTTAATTAAAAAACCTGACCCTTTGTGTGTCTGTGCTAGCTATCAGGAGGGCACATTATCTCCATATTTGGGTTATTTTTGCTCTTAATCTATTGGAGGGAAGTGACTTGAGATTCTTGATAGACTGGAACTCTGGAGGACCTTAGCCAGTTGTATATAGTAAAGGAAAATGTTAACATATAAGGATATCGTACTTTATGGAATTTTGTATTTATATAACAGATACATTAGATTCTAATTTTATATGATGATCAATTGAAAATAAAATAAGAGCATTTAAAATATATAATTTAAATTATAAAGATAGACTATCAGAAAAAAACAGCTCTTGTGTCTAGCACAAGAGATTCTAATTATAGGTAATTCTAATATAAAGCAAAATATACTTTTATTTAAACATCCCTGTAGCACATCGAATTACCATAATGGTACCCTCTATGTCATAGTTTTTATTCTCCATAATAACTGCTTACATGCAGGTAAATTTTAGATCTAGACTATATTGAATCTAGTTTTAGATACTGTTTATTATTAAAATATGCTACTATATGTAGTGGCAGTACTTATAATATTTTATTAAAATAAGGATCAGAAAATACTGTTTTATTGAAAGGTAGTCCTCCAAACCCTTTATTCTGTATTCTACCTTTATGTGAAGAAATTAAGTATATACTATTGCCAAGTGAAATTTGGAATAATTGTTCAGTCTTCGGTTACTAATTGTGAACATCTTTGGTTTTTGTTTTCAGGATAAAATAAACTATATTTATACTTAAAAGTGTCATCAGATGCTTTATTTGTTTATTTACTTTAGATTTTTTTCAAAGAATGGTGGTTATATATTTAATAGATGGTAAGTAATTAAAAGGAATTTTAGAGATTTTGTGGTTTTGTTCTGTCAATTCTAGATAACTTTTTTGTTTTTTTCGGGACAAAATTTCATTTATTTGTAATTAGAAATACATATTTCACAATATATAAGTACGTATTGTTTTTGTGATTAATCACTATACTTTAATTATGATCAATTTGTAACAATGAAAATACATACTGCGTATCAGATATTTATAGTACACAGTTATGAAGTAGCAACGAAAATAATTTTATGGTTGGGGGTTACCACAACATATGAGGAACTGTATTAAAGGGTCGTGGCATTATGAAGACTTAGAACCACTGTTAAAGGTAGGAACAATTATAATTTTTTTATTTTATTAAACTCTGCTGATTTTAACCTTCACCATTTACTCATAGACCCGATAGGACAGGGTAGAACTGTCCCTGTGAATTTCCAAGACTTCTCCCAGCAAACGAGCCAATTCCAACTCACACAACTCTATCTAGGATGGAATTGAACCACCCTTGGGCTTCTAAAAATGTGATTCTTTATGGGACTAGAAAGCCTCATTTTCTCCCTTGGAGTGGCTGGTGGTTTTGTAGTACTAAGCCTTTGGTTAGCAGCCCAGTGAGTAACCTACTACAGGAGCAAGTCATGCAAATTTCTAGGGATAACTAAACTCCTTGAGGGACTGAGTGGTCTTCAGGACTTAAGACTAGAGCCCTTAAGACCAGGGGACATGGAGGTCAATCCGCATTACAAAGGCTATAAAGACCATGGTCTTTGTAGTACCATGGTGAGTAGTGACTGGCCATCTAAGATTTTTTTAAATCAGCGAGATTTTTCAATCAATGAGATTAAAAATCAGTGAGATTTTTTAAATCGCACTGCCATTGAGTTGGTTCTGAAGCTGAATACTATTGGTCTCTTTCTTGAGCAAAGAAGAATGAAGAAAATCAAAGCCCCAAAACTTGAGTCAAAAGGACTAGCAGACCACCAGAACCACAGCCTCCATTCGCTTTAGACCAGAGAAACCAGCTACTACTAAAGCCCTCTATCAGCATTGTAGAGTTGATTATGGCAGACATAGTGGGGTTAGAGTTTAACACCTGATCATTTGACCTTCCTTTTTGACCCTTCATAAAGTTGTTTCGGCTTTTCATACTTTGCTTTCTTTTTGACTGAGCTTTTTCTTTATTTTATTCTATCTTGTTTTGTTTCTTGTTTGTTTGTTTGTTTTTGGTATGGTTTTCTGTATATAAAATCCAGGATAGGCAAATCTATAGCGACAGTAACTGCATTAATAATTACCTAGGTGCATGACAGGAAGGTTTGGAGGAATGGGGAATTAACAACAGTGAGTAAGAAAGAAGAAAATGTTCTGTCACTGATTGTGGTAATGATTGCACAGCTCTCTTTAATATGGCTGAATGATTGAGTGTGAAAACAAACAAACAAAACCCTCTTGGATCACAAGTGGGATAAAAATACATGAAAAATTCAAAATCATAAAGATTAGGTTCCTGGCCTGATAGAGATGGTTGGAATCCTGAAACTACAGCTTTTAGAAATGCTTTAATCTTGGAATTGGACTCATTCCTGGAGATCAACTTTCAGCCAAATTACAGGCCTAGAAAGTGAACAATACTATCTGAGCAATGTGCTTCTCTAAACAATCAACCATGGGTGGCCAAATGGGCAGCGTTGGCTCCAAAACAGTGCTCTGCAGGCAAGAAGGGGCAGGAAAATGGGTGACGGGAACCAGGGAACCCAGGGCGTAGTGGGAGGAGTAATGTTACATTGAGAGGATTGTAACCAATGTCACAAAAACAATGTGCAGAAATTTTCAAATGGGAAACTAGTTTGTTCTGTAAACTTTACCCCAAATTACTATCAAATGTCCAAACAATAAAACAAAACCCCCCTCAACTTTCTATTTTAAAAACAAACTTTCATACATTCAATGTAAAAAAAAGTGAAAAGATATCCTGTAGAATAGGAAAAATATATAAAGAATTTCTCTAATTCAAGAGTGAAAAAACACCAACAAAAAAATTCAATTAAAGAATTGGCAAAGGCCTTGAACAGCCATTTTCAGAGAAGATCTACCAATGCCCCTGTGGTTAGAAGGAGATAGAACCTGGAGAGGATCCCAGGAGTTATAGACAATAACAAAAACTTTTTAAAAAGTACTCTTCTCCCAATAACGGTGTTGCATCCAAGTAATTAGTAACACATATAAAGGTTTGAAGAATGAACATGTTTGTTGAACTGGTCATAAAAAACACTTTAACAAAGGAAGAATATTCATTTTTATATTTGGAAATTTTCAACACACTTCTAAATAACTAATGCATAAAGAGATAATGTCAGGTAAAATTAATCTCATTTAATTCTGTTACGATGTCACCCATTTAATTTCTTATTCGTAGAATTTGCTTTTTCTCATTCCTTTGTTAGGGCTTCCAGTGGTTATCGATTTTGTTGGTCTTTTTGACGAACCAACTTCATGTTTTGTTGATTACTTCTAAAATTAAATTCATTTTGGAATGTGTAATAATGAAAGTTTAATGTAATAACTTGTGAGATACAGATGGAGCAATTATTAAAGGGAAATGTGTAGCCTTAAATGCATATACTGGATAAGAAAAAGGCTGAAGACTAAGGAAGTAAGCATTTGCTCTAAGAAATAAATGAGAAGAAGAGTTTAAAAAAAATATATATAGGTAAAATAAACCAAACTTGACCAATGGTTACCAAAGGTGAAGGAGAAAGGTGTTGCATAGGGTGCGTTTATGTCAATGGTTGTAGACTAATTCGGGAGAAAATATCAATTGAGGCTGTATAGAACGAAGAGCATAATAAATGACACTGAATTATGCAAGTAGAAGTGGAATTGGAGAATGTTCTGTTGTGCATAGTTTTACCACAATTAGAAAATAATAATTACATAAGTAACAATAACTACAAGGAAGAAAATGTTCTAGAATTGACTATAATGACAATTGTACAACTCTTCTTGATATGATTGAAATGTATGACATGTGGGCAATGTGCTAACAAAAAAAGTTTTAAAAATAGAAAATAAAAGAAGCTGCATTTCTGGTATTATGGTAGATTAGATTTAAGCTAATCATCCTGCTGAAAACAAAATCATCTAAATATATATGTGTATGTATATTTTATATGACATTTGCATATTATATGTACATAAATAATACACACACTTTATTATATATGTTAATGTTATGTATAACACATGTACATAGTAAATATCATACATATGCACATATACAAAGCTATATTTAGATGACTTTTTATTGTTTTCAGCAGGATATTTAGCCTAAATCGATCTACTATACCAGATATGTCTTCCCTTTTATTTATTTTTTTTCTCTTTTTTAACATTTTATTAGGGGCTCATACAACTGTTATCCCAATCCATACACACATCAATTGTGTAAAGCGCATTTGTACATCGTTTCTCAAAACATTTTCTCTCCATTTAAACCCCCGACATTAGGTCCTCATTTTTCCCCTCCCTCCCCGCTCCCCCCTCCCGCATGAGCCCTTGATAGTTTATAAATGGGTATTTTGTCATATCTTGCCCTGTCCGACGTCTCCCTTCATCCACTTTTCGGTTGTCTGTCCCCCAGGGAGGAGGTCACACACAGTTCCATGTAATCGGTTCCCTCTTTCCTACCCATTTTCCCTTTACCCTCCCTGTGTACCCGTGTGCCTCCTCTGGTCTAGCCAGACTTGCAAGATAGAATTCGAGTCATGGTAGTGGGAACGGGGAGGAAACCTTTAGGAACTAGAGGAAAGTTGTATTTCTCATCATTGTTACATCGCACCCTGACTGGCTCATCCCCTCTCCGAGACCCCTCTGCAAGGGGATCTCCAAAGCCCTTTTATTTTCTTTGGTCTATTCTCTCTATGTATAAATATAACATGTATATATACATCTATTATAAACCTTAAAAGCATCAGAGTTGTCTAGTTGTATGGAATTACCACATGAACATTTTCAAACATGTATAAAAGTATATAGTATAATGACCGTAACTTTACCCACCACTTATGGATCCAACAACAGTTAAACATTTGAAAGTAATTTGCTTGACATTATGACACTTGACTGCCCAAATAACCACAATAACATTATAATTATTAATAAAATGAAAAGCAATTATCTAATATTATGAAACGTCCACTATGTTTTGGCAAAGACCAAACCAAACCAGGAAGCCAGGAAGGAAGCTGCAGAAGGACAGCCGCTTTGGTCCAGAGGCCAGTAGCCGTTCTAGGCAACGCCAAGCTCTGGTTTGTGTATTAGTCTAATGTCTGGGGGAAACGTGTCAACAAGGCCTGTCCTAGATTTCCTATTGTGAACAATGCTGCCACGAGCATCCATGTGTATATCAAAGTCAATATACTTTTTGCCAACATGTTTAACATCGAAGGACCCACTCTAAATTAAATTCTTAAAAATATATACTTCAGGTGGAAGAGAAAGGGTGAAATATGGGTAATGTGAGGACTAAAGTACAAAGAAAGGGAAAAACCACATTTTTAAAAAATAGCCATCTTCCTTAGTTCTTCCTTTCTTCCTTTTCAGGGAAAACTTAATTGCGGTTTGGGTGAAAGTTTCCAGAGCAAATTGATGCACAGTTTGGTGCCATTAGTTGTAAAGGCAACAGTACCCCTCCATCTTCCTCCCTGGGTTCCCTGTATCATTTGATCCGTCTTCCACCCTTTCCTGCCTCCTGAAGTTTGTTTTTAAGCCAATGCTGCAAGTTTGGTCTCAGACAGTCGATTGTTCTGAGGAGAGTATTCCTCCCTGGTGTAATGATTCACTTCATAGGCCTTTTATGTATTTGGCTGGAAGGTGATCACAGGGAGGGAGTGAAGTTGCAGGTATGAGAGAAATGAAGCGTATCTAAGGGCCATAGGATCAGGGTTTCCAATAGTGTCTATCAGACCAGTAGGGCTAGTCTTTTGATGACTTGAATATTGCTCTGTGTTTTTATCCACTCCATCCAGGACCTTGTATTGTGATAACTGATCAGAGAGATCATTAGTAATAACTGGGTACCATCTAGTTCTTCTGGCCTAAGGGTCATGCAGGCTGTGGTTCTGGGTCCATTAGCCCTATGAACTGATTTTTTTTTAAGTCTTTGATTTTATTGACTCTTCTTTTCGACAGACAGGAAGAGATCAATAATCTTATTTTAGACTAACACTGTCTTTATAAACTTCATTATGCCAACTGACCGAGATGAGGTCTGAGACTATGGCCCTAAACCCTGATGCCCAGTGCCTCAGCCCCTCAATGTGTTCGGTTTGGGGATAAGATGTTTGCAAGGCTCTGACCACTGTATGCTCTCGCATATACCCGGATGTATTTGCAGCACATATAAGCACATATGAAGAAATAGCCTTTGCCAAGCCTATGTATGATACTCTCCCATATTCCATCCCACACCTGCTCAGCATAATTATGTACCTAAGAATTTACTCATAAATTACTGTCTCTTACTACTGTTATTGCAGATTATGTATGTAATAATATTTTCCACTGTTGCCTTTTATTTTCTTGTACCTCCCAGTGTCTTTCTTTGCCTTGATCCTGTTCTGCTGACCTCCCCTTTATTCTATACTGCCTTTCTGTTCCCCCTAGGTATTAGATGGTGAGTGTGGCTGTTAGATTTTATGTCAACTTGACCCTGTGGAGTGTGTAGGGATGGAGTCCAACCTATTAATCAGGTTATAGCCTGATGTTGCCTCCTTGGAGAAGTGGTAATTTTCTTATAAGAAAGACAATGTGAAATTCTCTTCTTCTCTTTGGTGCTTGCCCTTCCTGCTTGCTGGGACTCTATGTCTGCCTCCATGGGTGGCCCCGTGTTCCCGACCTTGGACCCATGTGACTCTGCACCCACTAGCCTGTGATTACCCAGCATACTGCTTTATCTTTCTGTATCTATCTTTTGACAGTTTGGTACTGCTAATATTCTTCAGCAGCACCATAATTCAAAGCTAGCTATTCTTCGGTCTTCCTTATTTGATGTACAATATGAGGAAACTGAGCATATCATGGCTTGGGTCAAGTTCACCTTAGTCCTCAAAGTAACATCTTTTTCAACACTTTAAAGAGATCTCTTCTAGCAGATTTACCCAATGCAATTGTGTCATTTGATCGCTTGACTGAGGTTCCATGAGCATTGATTGTGGATTCAAGCAAGACGAAATTCTTGACTTCAACCATTTTTCTGTTTATCATGATGTTACCTACTTGTCCAATTGTGAGAATTTTATAGCTTTGATAGCCCATAGGGGATAAACTTTGTTCTATAGAGCTGCTATGAGTTGGAATCAACTTGAAGGTAGTGAGTGTTTGAGCACATGGCACAAAGAAGCCCCTGTAGTGTAATGGTTCCGCACTTGGCCACTAACAGAAAGCTTAGCTGTTTGAACACAGCAACCACTGGCTAGGAGAATGGTGTTGCAGTCTGCTTCTCCAAAGATTACAGCCATAGAAACATTGTGGAACAGTTCTATTATGTTCTGTAGGGTCAGAAGGGATACAGAATAAACTCAACAGCAATTAGCTAAAATTAAAAAAAAATTAAATACCACAAGTTGATGACAGTTACGTTGTCTCCAGGAGGTGCTTAGTTGCCAAATGATAATTTGAACCTACCTAGTGGCGGAGGAGAGCTGGTGGCATAGTGGTTACCGATCGATCCGTGATCTGCATGGTTGGCAGTTCAAAACCACCAGCATTTCCTTCAGAGAAAGAATGGGCTTTCTACTCCTGTAACTCCAGTCACTGAGTCAGCATTGACTCGATGGCAGTGAATTTGGGTTTTGAGAATGAGAAGGCCTGACTCTCTGCTTCCAGAAAGATGAACACAAAATATAACCAAGCAACCCTGTGGAGCAGTTCAACTTCACGTGAAGTCACAGCATGGACTCCATGACAGCAGGTTACAGGTTACTGACGATGCCCAGGGAGCCAGACTGTTTTTCAAGGCTCCATTCCAAAGAAATGATAGATTTTCCCACCCCCATCAAGGTTATTAACGATCCCTGGAGGTTCTGGGCATTAAGCTTTGGGCTGCCAGTGGAAAGCGGTTCAAACCAACCCGTTGCTCTGCAGAAGAAAGATCGAAGTTAACGTGATCCCATAAAGACTTAGTTTTAGGAGTCCTATGTAGGGTGCTACGGCCCCCACCCCCGGTCACTAACAAATTATATCCAAGTCCCTGGTTGGCACAAATGGCTAATCCTTCAACTGGACCTCAACTGACAAGCTTAAGACAGATTGTGGCCAAGTTACTCATTGCATAGTAATTCAACAAAATAGATAGGTTGGGCTGCCAATAGCAAGTCCAGCAGTTCAAATGCACCAGCTGCTCTGCCGGAGAAAGACAAGGTTTTCTACTCCCCATAAAGAGTTACAGTTTCTGAGATGATGACGTGGGGAACAGGACACTAACCCAGCCAGGGAGAGAGTATTGGTTGTGTTCCCACAGAATTGGAATGTGCATATAGACCCCACCACGATGCATCAAACCAGGAAGACAACCTAACACGTGGAGGAATCCACAAAAAGACTGGACTGTATGTAGGGCCAGCCCCAACCAGAACCAGCCTGACCCCACCATGGAAGGGTGTGCCACAGAGAATGACAATGGAACTTCTGGGGGGCGGGAAGGAACCGACTACCGTACTCAGAAGGAAGCTGAAGCAAATGAAGGGGGAGGAAGGGAGCGGAGCACACCCTGGGCCACCAAGCCCTGAGGACAACAGCCCCTCTCAGAGCAGCCAATACACAGATGGCCGGCCCCAATACGAGACAGGACATCCTGTAGTGACCCATAGCCCTACATGGGACAACACTGGAGACACAGTGTGGGATGTGTGACCGCACTGACCCCATCACACCAAGGCAAAACACTAAGGCGTGCAACAGAACAGCAAGGGGAGCAGAAAAAGGAAGTCCCGAGGGAGTACCAAAAATAGACTTTGGGGTCAGGGTGTGGCACCCCATCAGACCCAACCGGAAAACACCCCTAAAGTCATCAAACAGACTTTGAACTATTTACAGGCTTTTCTTTTTTATTTTGTTTGTCATTGGCTTTTTTTTGGGGGGGGGTTGTTGCGTCATCGCCTTGTTTTTCTGTGTCACTTTGACGCTGTCGAGTTTTTATGTGCATATTATTATCTCTGCAGGTCTATCTACTTATATTTCAAGAGATGCTAACGTGAAAAGAAAGAAGCCATTTCTTGCATGACTCCTACTTTGCACTTCTTGACATCACTTCTAAAGGAGAAAGGCCAGTTCCGGATCAGGGGCAGGAGAGGTGCAAGGTTAATAGTGGACCATAGCTCCAGTGAGGTTCTGTGCCTCCGCGCGGGCGATTTCCAGCCTGGCCAATCCCGAGGCGGATGAGGCAGGGGGCGCGGCCTCGCTCGGAGTAGGCCGGGACTAGGGCCGAAGTGGGCGTGGTCCGACGCTGAAGGGGCGGGGCGAAGCCGGTTCTGCCCCGCCGGTGTGAGCTGGCGCGCAGGGCCGGCCGGAGGCGCGGGGCGCAGGCGCGACCCCCTCCCCGGCGGCGCATGGAGCGGCTGGCGTTGCCCGCCGGCGGCGCGGAGGCCGTGGAAGAGTACTTGGAGTACCGACGGTGAGTGGGCGGCGGCTTGGTGCGGGGAGACCCAGGCTGCCCCGCCACGCCCCGACGTCTGGCCGGAGGAGCAGCGAGCCCCTGAAATCCGTGCCCGGGCTGTCGGGGCAGGTTTCATTAAGTCCAGCCTGGCGTTTCCGTCCTTACACACTGGGCGGCGCGCAGGTTTTCCGGAGGTCCGACCTGCTTCCTTCGGAGAGGGACTATGGAGTGTGGATCGGGGTGCCGGCGGGGCCGTTCTTCGGAGGGAGTGCAGGGCCGGTCCCCGGGCTGGTGCTCGTTAGCCGCCGGCAGGCTCGGGTCCGAGACGGCGCCGTTCGCGGATTCTGGCGGCCCGGGACCCGCCTCCGGCCGATGCACCTGCAGCGACGTGTTTGATCTGCCTCCTGAGAAAGCTGGGCCCTGGGCCGTGATGGTGCCCGTGCTGGCGGGAGCGGGCCGGCCACGGCCGCAGCCCGGAAACCTAGCCCGGGTGGCCGCTCGCGTGCTTCTCCCTGCTCTCCCCACGTCACCCCGGCGTCTAGGCAGACGCTGACTACATGCAGCCCTCTCGCTGCTCCCCTGGCGTAGGACGGGGTACCCCCCCCACCCCCGCCAACCAGAATTGTTTTTCAAAGCTATGTATTTATTTTTTTACAAGACAACCTTATGACCTTCAAAGTACTCTCCATTACGCTTAGTACATGTGTCAAATCTGCAATTCCACTCTTGGAAACATCTTTCAAACTCGTCTGTTTGGATGGCTGACAGCATCACCCTCGTTTTTTCCTTCACCTGTGTCGTCAAATTGCTGTCCTTTCATGTCTCTCTTCATTCGAGGAAACAAAAAAGTCGCCACGAGCGAGGTCAGGTGAATAAGGTGTGTGGGGCAAGAGAGGCATGTAGGGTTTTTTTTTGCCAAAAACTTGCGCACTGAGATGGCTTCGTGAGCAAGTGCATTGTCGTGGTGGCAAACCAGTCCCGCATCTGCCACAAATCAGGCCTTTTTTGTTGCACATTGTGTTACGCAATCTTTTCAGAACCTCAAAATCAGTGGTTCTCAACCTGTGGGTCGAGACCCCTTTGGGGGTTGAACAACTCTTTCACAGGGGTTGCCCAATTCATAGCAGTAGTAAAATTACAGTTATGAAGTAGGAATGAAAATAATTTTATGGTTGGGGGTCACCACATGAACTGTATGAAAGGGTCGCGTTATTTTCGTCCATTTGGGAAGTTGACAGACATCCAGAACGAGGTTTTCATCCATCGACATTTCACCTCTTTTGAAATGTGGAAACCACTCGTCCACTTGAGTTTTCCATAGCGCTGCCCTTGTGAGTTGTGGTCAACAACACAACAGTTCCTGCGCAGTTTTCCAGAGCAGGAAACAAAATGCCACAGCTGCACGCTATTCTCTTAAATCCGCCATCCCCAAAAACGAGGTTCAAGGGAAACTACTTTTGTGAAAAAATCACTGTGACAGAGAGAGCCCCAGGCAATACCACTGGGTGCAGTGACTCAGAACGAGCTGCTCAACGCTTCTCGAGTGGGAAGAATGCATATTATGAAAGCTCAGCTCTGCCCAGCGCAATTCTGGTTTTTTTTTTGGGGGGGGGGTACCCCTTGTAGTTTGGGACCCTCCTTAACTGCCTACAATTTCAGAATCAGAAATGTGAGGTTTAAGGATAGGAGTTTAATGGAATATTTCCCATCCGTTGCCTCAATGGAATTAGGTAACACTGAGATTTCTGGCAGTTTCCACCTAGCCCTCAGCCTGGGCAGAACTGGTCCCTTAGTAGCCAAGGAACAAGCTGCTGGGCCCTCAAATGGACTGATAATCTAAGTATTTAAATATGTGGATTATGGGCCTCCACTTGTAGTCGAAAGCTTGGCCCAGAATATGTTAAGGAAGAGCCTGGTGAAAAGTGACTTTGGCAAACGTAAGTAACCGGGAGCCCTTCTCTATGGAAGTGACAAGGCGAGGGGGCATTTGGATGTGGGCTGGGGTTGTGTCGACTCACAGATGTAGTTAGGGGCTCCCTGGCCAAGGTTGGGGTCAGTTAATAGGGTCGCTCAGAGTCAGAGTCTGTTCCATAGCAACAGCTTGGTTGTGTCCACTGTATGGATTTTTGTACTTTTTTGCAAACTTTTTTTAAAGAAAGAAAATGCTAGAACTTTTGGCAATTTATACTCCAACTTTTAATGGGTAAAATGAGTTTTTGTGCTTCAGAATCAAAGGAGAAATTGACACGAATACCTGATCATTCTTGAACATGTTTTAGTAGTAAACTTATCAGTAAAGCCAGATGCTATGCATTCATTGACTCTCTTTTAATCTTTATGTGCTCATCAACAGTTTCATTACCTGTGTGTCATTTGGCTATTATGTGCCTAAAGTAAAAGAAGGGGGTCCTGGTGGTGCTATGCATAAGGCATTGACTGTAACTGTAATTGGGGTGGTGGTGTTGTTCTAGCCCATCAGATGTTGTGTGGGAGGTAGACGAGGCCGGCTGCTCCTGTGAATTGTACAGCCTGGGAAACTCCTTATGGGTCCCCTCTGAGTTGGCATCGACTTGATGGAAAATGAAGATGAAAGTCAGTGCTGCCTTTCCTTTGACTCCCAAACCCAACCCAACCCAACCCAACCCAACCCAACCCAGCCCAACCCAACCCAAACCACCCTCCCTGCCATCGAGTCCATTCTGACTCGTCACGCCCCTGTAAGACAGAGTAGAACTGCTCCTATGGCTTTCCAAGACTCATTCTTCACTGGAGTAGAAAGTCTCACTTTCTCCCATGGAGCGGCTAGTGGTTTAGAATGTCTGACCTCGAGGTTAGCAGCCCAACACATAACCGCTATGCCACCAGGGCTCCATAGATAGGCACCCTAAATCGTCAGAGGTCAGCTCCCAGGAATGATCTCTTGTAAACTGATTTCGATCATTCATCATCTGACTGTAGATTAATTTTAGAGTTCAGTATTATAACCTGGAAAGTACAAGTAAACGCCCGGGCTTAAGAGAAGTATTTTGTTATTGTTGTAGAATTGTTGGCGAGGATGATGGAGGGAAACTTCTTACTCCTGAAGAATATGAAGAATACAAACGAAAAGTTTTACCTACGCGCTTACAGAACCGATTATATGTGAGCTGGCGCTCACCGACTGGAATGGATTGTAAACTTGTGGGCCCAGAGACTCTGTGTTTTTGTACACATAGGTAAGATACTTGGTTGATAAGTTTCTTATCATTAGAAATTTAAAAATGATATCAGAGCCTATCTTCTTTTTATAAACAGCATGGCTTGTGATGATTGAGAAACTTTAGGCCTCTATCTGCTATCCTGGGAGCCTTGGTGGTGCAGTGAATTAAGTGTTGGACTGCCAGTGGAAAGGTTGTCAGCTCGAACTCACCAGCTGCTCCAAAGGAGAAAGATGAGGCTTTCTACTCCCCTCAAGATGTCTCAGAAACCCACAGGCGGTTCTGCTCTGTTGCTATTGAGTTGGAATTGAGTCATTGGCTGTGCCTTATACTTTAAAAAATGGCTATTGGCACCTTTTTTAAAAAAACGAAAGTATGTGCATGCTGCTTTTTAATCATGTTGATCACGCTCCAATCAAAGCATGTTGAAGGAGAGGTTTGCATGTGCTGTGTGATCTCCTTTGCATTTACCTTCTACCACAGGCTGTAGTTGTAAACCTCAAAGTGGACAAGCTGCTTCGCAGAAAAATCACTAAACCGCTCACTTATGTTCAGGTAACAGCTCTCATGTCCTGTTCCAGAGGAATGATTAGAGGGGAACTGTTCCATTCTCCCAGCGGTTTCTGGACTTCTTCCTCAAGGCTCTTTGTGTCGTTGCTGTTTACACACTTTGAGTTTGCCTGAGGTTGTCAGGCCGTTGCTAGGATGAGTAATGTTTTGGATAAATTGACGTTAAAGCTCCGTTGAGGAAAGGGGTTGGAGGAATGGATAATGAGGATATGTTGAAATATTTAAGAATTGAAGAGGAGTTTGGAAAATTTTTGATAGTTTTGCAATTTAATTTTGTATAAATTTAGTGCCATTCCCTTTATATATGTATAATTTATACCCAAGCCCCAAATTTAACTCACTGCCATTAAGTTGAATGAGACTCACAATGAACCCACAGGACAGAGTAGAACTGCTCTGAAGGTTTCCTAGGCTACATCTGTCTCCCGGGGAGCAGCTGGTGGTTTAGAACCACTGACTTTTGGTTAACAACCAAGTGCTTCAAACACTGCACTGTCAGGGCTCCTTCAGCATAGAATTAAAACATAAGCTAACCAAATCCCGATATAGGGATTCCAAGCCTGTAAATCCTCATGGGAGCAGATAGTCTCATGTTTCTCCTGCAGAGCAGTGGATGGGTTTAAACTACCGACCTTGTAGTTAACTAGTCCATCGCTTATCCCACAGTGCCACCATGTATAGAATAAACTCAGCCTAGAATAACCTCCCATCAAGTCAATCCTGGCTCATAGCGACCCTATAGGACAGAGTAGACCAGCTCCCTTGGGTTTCTAAGACTATACTTTTTTTTTGGAGGAAACAGTCTCTTCTTTCTCCCGCAGAGCTTCTGATCAGTGTGTAATGGACTGTGTCACGAGAGCTCCTCAGCAGAGAATAGCAAACTCACCACCACTGAGTTATTTCTAACTCAGCAACCTTGAGGACGGAACAGAACTACTCCCTGTGGGGCTCCAGACTGTCAGAGTTTACCAGAGTAGATAGAAAGCCTTGCTTTTCTCCTGCACACGCGTGTGGTGTATGTGAAAATCCTCTGACTCATCAACTGACCTAGAAGTTGTGCTGTAATCCAAGAGTGCACCATCAACACATCAACAGCAGTGTGGTTAAAAGCTTTCAGAGCTTTTTGTGTTTGGAATTTTTATAACTGCAGTCCACCCGTTTCATAACCTAAATCCGACTCTCCATTGTCAGAGGGATCAAGATTACCTGGAGACCAATACTTTTGAGAATCATTTGCCACTTGCCACTTTCTACGTGTGTACAAGGAGTCTCATTTCACTTCCTACCTGGACACGAGAAGTCTTATACACGAGCAAGCTTCAAAAAGTTCACAGAGAAGTTCCATTACTTTTCCTTTTTTTTCTTTTTCATCAACTTTCGAGGCTCTGGTTCCTCTCTGTTGTCGTTGTTGCCATGGAGTTGGTTGTGACGCATAGGGACCCTTTGCACAATAGAAGGAAACACTGCCCAGTCCTGCACCATCCTCTCAGTGGGTGTTATGTCAGTGTCCAATTGTCACACTTGTCTGTTAGGCTGTTGTACTGTTTTGGCTTGCGTGTAATCTGATGCTGGAAGCTTTGTCACTGGTATTTAACATATCAGCAGAGTCACCCAAAGTGAACAGGTTTCAGCAGAGCTTGCTGACTAAGAACAGACTGCGAAGAAGGACTAGGCTGCCCACTTCTGAGGAATTAGCCACTGGAACCTATGAATAGCATTGAAAAAGGCCTCGATTGTGATTACAAGTAGACAAATGAGACATGTACCCTTGTACTTCAGCTCTACTTGCTATGTGTGTTCTCCTAGAAAATGTTGATGTTCAGTGTTCTTGCTGAGGATTTGTTTATGAATGTAATCCTGCACAGCTAGGCAGAACCTCATTTACTCCAGAAACAAACTTCACTTGCTCTTTCTTACCTACTGACCCTTCGTTTCCACCTGCAGCTCTGTAAGGTGGAGGCTCTTTCAGTTTACTACTGTCCTCTTTTGTAATTGTGCATCTTCTAAGTGGGGACAGGACCCTTATTTTAGTTATCGTCTCTATAGATTTCACCTATCCTGGGTTTCATATACAGAAAAACATAGAAAAATGCATACCACAGTGTCAAGAAGGCTACCAACAGTCAAGAAGGCTACCAACAGTGACAAAATACAACAGAGACAACCCCCCCCACCAAAAAAACCCACAGAAAATATTATAAACCAGATCAAGCACACAGTGTATTAAAAAGGGAAAACAAGTGACATGGTTTTAACAGTAAAACACTATTTTTGACACCTGCCTAGTATTCCAACTGGTAGTGGGGTTCGGCCTGTGTTTCCTGGAGTTGTGAAGAAGCCTCTGAGGTGTGCCCTGTTGGAAAGTTAGCTTAGGGGAAGAGAACATTCCAATTTCTGCTCTTTCTTGTGCTTGAATGAAGTTTTCTTTTGTTTATTCTTTATATATTCTATATACTACTATATATATTCTATATACTACTATCTATTCCTCTGACAGGAGCCTTGGTGGGGCAAGCAATGGACTGCTTGCTAACAATAAGGTCAGTGGTTCAATCCCAGCAGGCCACTCTGTGGCAGAAAGAGGAGGCTGGCTGCTCCCGGGAAGATCGACAGCCTCAGGAGCCCTGCACAGGGTCCCTATGAGTCAGGATCAACTCTGGCAGTGGATTGGGTATTTCTCTAACACATGTTGCTATTAGAGGAGTCCGGCCGACTTACTGGTAGCTGGTACACAAGAACAAGAAAACGGAACTAAATAAGTACATAACAAGACTAATATTTACATTTGAGAACTCCCATTCACATTTAACAGGAAAGACAGGATCATTTTTGATAATGCCTACATTGTACTTATATTTCTTCCTTTTAATCTTTTAGGTACAAACAACATCAAACTGACTTTGCAACGATGCCACAGCAGAGGCCCATCAGTCTGCCCTGCCGAGTGACTGGCTGCCAGTGCAGGGCATACCTGTACGTCCCCTTGAACGGCACGCAGCCCATTCGCTGCAGGTGCAAGCACTTCGCTGATCAGCACCATGCTGCAGCCGGCTTTACGTGCACGGCGTGTGAGTTACACTGCTGTCAGCACACAGCACAGTGGTTTTAACGTCTTTAATATCTAAGGTGCCTTTATACCTGTTTGTTGCAGTCACAGTCACTATTACACAACCGAGGAAATGTCGACGCATTGATTTTGTAAAGCTGTATTTGGAAAAATATTTAGAGTTGCTTGGATACTTTTCAGTTCTAATAGTGCAGTGGTTAAGCGGCCGGCTGCTAATGGAGAGGGCTGCAGTTTCCACTCAGCAAATGCTCCACGGGAGAGAAGGCGCAGCAGTCTGTGCCCAGCGCGCCACAGCCTCAGAACTCCAGGGGGCTGTTCTCTGTCCAGTAGGGTCTTTATGACTCAGAGTTGACTCAGTAGCACATAGCAACAAATCTCTCCTATGGGTCGCCCCGCTTACGAACGAGAGCTAGTCCTAGCCGTGTCTTTAAGAATGGGTAGGTGTGCTGGAACAGGAACCATACAGTTCTTATTTAGTCCTATTTTTGTGGAAGCAAAGACTGAAAGCCTTTTCAATGATTTAAAATAAGTGTTTCCCAAAGTGGGAGATACTGCCCCTTGGAGATTAAAGGAGTGATCTAAGGGGACTGCAAAAGCCGACACCCACACTTTATTCTGGATTAAGGGCTGTAGTACAAACGTTTTTAATTTCCAGGGGGTGTGCCAAGGAATTCTTTTTGTGAAAAGGAAGTGGTCGGCCAGATGTGTGGACAAAGGGCAAGTCTGAGTTGTCTGTGAGGTGTTCTTGAGACGCATTCTATGTTATTTTATAATTTGTGGGCAGATTCTTCTATTATGACCTGAAATGTTGGCAGACTATACTACAATACATTTTTGGAACAAATAAAAAAACGTGGTAAACTATGTATCACAGGAAATTGGCTATTTTAATACTTTTTAAGTGTACAATCCAGTGAAATCCATTACATCCACCATGTGTGCAACCATTATCATTACTTCCCAAAGCTTTTCTTTCCCCCAAATAGAAACTCAGTGTCCCTGACGCAGTACCTTCCTCGTCTCCTTCTTCCAGGCCCTGGTAGCCACCAATAAACATTTGTCCCTGCATGTGCCTATTCTAGGCACTTCAAACAAGTGGGATTGTATGCTCTGTCCTGCGGGGTCTGACTTATTGTACTTAGCATGGTTTTACCTCTTTTTACTCCTAAACAACCCACTATGTGCTTTCTGTCTCTATGTGTTTCCTTCCAGTTGGCCCTTTCGGGGGCGTTCAACCATAGGGAGGGCTCTGAGTTTCCTCTTCTCCTGCTCCCCACCCCACCCCACCCCCGGCTGTCCTTGCCAAACCTGCTTCCAACAACGTATCTGACCAGAGGGCCTGCATTTCCTTAGGGGTTAACCCACCTGTTTTAGTTCTAGTTCTTTTTTTTTTTTCCCCCAGTTGTTGTTGTTTGTTTGCTTTAATATATTTTCTGTCACACAGTCCTCTTACTACTTTGTGACTTTGAAAAGGTAGAGTGGGGACTGGGAGTGAGCTCAGGGGCTGGAAGTAAAAGTTGCAGAGGACAGAGCGGAGGGACTCGTCCAGCGGCTTTGGCCAAGACAAGAGTCTTCAGGGAAGCAGCCCCGTACTTCTATTTAAAAAAAAGATGAATTCACTTTACATCTTGATTTCAGGTTCCAAGTGTTCAGGATTTCATAGCTGCTTCACCTGTGCTTGTGGCCAGCCTGCATATACCCATGAGACAGTAGTGGAAACAAAGCAAGAGAGACTGGCGCAGGGAAAACCAGTAGGACGAGATGTTCCGTATGCGGCCATGGGAGGATTAACTGGCTTCAGCTCACTGGCTGACGGCTACATGCGATTAGATGACAGCGGGATTGGTAAGTGACAATATATGAAATATGAAGTGGTCATATTGTTCTTGTGCTGATAGTTGTGAAGTCTTGCATTTCTTTAGCACTTGGTATTCTTGATAACTCCTCCACCCAAGAAGGCGTTCTTCCATTTGATTTTGATTTTTAAAAGTCCTTGTTGGCATTATACAACATTGTCATCAGAGAAAGCTTTAATAGCACACCGAAAGAGATTACTCTTGCCACAATACTTCCAATTCAGATCTCAAGCCCACTATTGGATGATTTTAATTATTATAGCTCCATAGTTGGTTTTGATATCTGATATGGTAAATCCATTCTCTTGTGTTCTTTTCAAGATTATCTGAATATTTTGTGCATTTCTCTTCCAGGAAATTTCCTAACTAGCTTGTAAATTTCATAAACAAATCCCTTTTGTGATTCTCATGGGTGCTCGATTGTGTTAGGCTCATGAAACGTTTACAGAAAGGTCAGTTAACAGTGATGTCATGATTACAGCTCTGCACTGCCAGGTATTGTCCCAAACTTTTTAAAGATTATGATCTCATTTAATCTTTACCACTCTTTGTGAGTTAGGTTCTGTTATTACTGTTTTCATTTCATAGGTAAAGAAACTAAGCAGGGAGGAGGAGTAAGGCAATTTTGTTATTCAGCTACTGCAGGATAGGGTGGGGCTCAACCCAGAGATCACTCTGAGGAGAAGGCATAAGAAAGTTTAAGCAAGGAAACCTCTCCCTCCAGGCCTCTGAAAGGAGGCAGGGAGTTGAAAGTTGAAAGTGAGGCAGGGAGTCCTAAGACGTAGTTATGTGTCCCAATTTGAGATGTAGGGAGGCCAGGAACAGAGGGATTTTTATTCCGTTAGCCATGTTCTTAGATGCTGTCAGTTGGTCCTAACTCAGTGCAACAGAAGGAAACACTGCCTGGTCCGATGCCATCCTCACAATCGTTATTTTTGAGCCCATTGTTGCAGCTGCTGTGCCAGTCCAACTTGTTGAGGAACTTCCCCTTTCCCCTGCCCCTCTGCTTTACCAAGCAGGATGTCTTCTCCAAGGACTCGCCTCTCCAGAAAATACGTCCAAAGTCCACGAGACGAAGTCTCACCATCTTTGCCTCTATGGAGCACTCTGACCATATTTCTTCCAAGTTTGTTCTTTTGGCAGTCCACATTCTTTACATATTCTTTGGCAGCACCATAATGATTCTTCTATAGTCTTTCTTATTCACGTCTTATTTCAACTTTCTTTTTTAAAAAATCATTTTATCGGGGGCTTGTACAACTCTTATCACAATCTATCCATCCATCCATCCATCCATCCATCCATCCATCCATCCATCTATCCATCCATCCATTGTGTCAAATAAATTTGTACATTTGTTGCCATCATCATTTTCAAAACATTTTCCTTCTACTTGAGCCCTTGGTATCAGCTTCTCATTTTCCCCCCTCTTTCCCTCTTGAACCCTTGATAATTTATAATTTTTTTTCATGTCTTACACTGACCAATGCCTTCTGTTGTCCATCACTCTGGGTGGGGGTTATAAGTAGATCATTGTGATCTGTTACCCCTGTCTCCCCCACCTTCCCCTTCCCCTCCTGGTATGGCTACTAACAATATTGGTCCTGAGGGGTTTATCTGTCCTGGATTCCCTGTGCTTCCAGCTCGTATCTGTACCCGTGTACATGCTCTGGTCTATGCAGATTTGTAAGGTAGAATTGGGGTCATGATAGTGGGGGGTGAAGAAGCTTTAAAGAACTAGAGGAAAGTTGAATTAGCAGCCCAATGCCTATCCCAGGGCTCCTTAATGAGTTGGAAGGAATTCATAAGTTCTAACTTCAAGGGGCACTTGGAAGCCAGCTGAGTTGTGAGGCAGAACAAAGCTGGGGGTGAGTCTCTTGGCCTGGGGGGTTAGAATAAGGAAGTGGCAGGCATTCTGGAGGTCTGTAGTTCTAGAAGAAATGTGAGGCTACAGGCCCCATCCAGCTGGGAGAGACCCAATGACAAGTTACACCAGCCTTGAGCATTTGAAGGTGCCGTGCCGTCAGGTAAAGCAAGGTCACCAGTTCAAGCCCATCAGCCATTCCGCGGGAGAACATTGAGACTGTCTGCCCTTGTAAAGATCACAGGTTTGGAAGCCCCAAGTAGGGGCACTCTGAGCTGGAATCATCCCTACACCACTGGGGCGTTTAGCACATTCAGAGAGACCATGCAAGGGCCTCCGTGAACATAAGCTCGCCTCTTCATGCACCGTCTCCTGTGCCACCGTGTGAGAGACTTGCTGGGAAAGGGGAAGGACCCGAGAGGCACAGAGCAAGCAGACGTCCCACACCGCTTACATTATAAGGAAGGCCCACGTGTAAACTGACGAAGACAGAAAGTTCAGCTCCTTCCCTTGACTGGGGGCAGGGGGTTGGCGTGGGGCGGTTTGTGAAGAAGCTAGAGGAGTTATGTTGTCTGCAGCGTCCTTCCTGAGCTCCTGAAGAACAGGTATGGAGCAGTTGGTCGTTGTAGTTGAGGTTGTGGCTATTTCTCCTTTCATTGAAGAAGGGGTTTTCTTCAGTATTTTTCGTGCTTCCCGCTTTTAGATGGTCTCCAGGTAAGTAGCAAGAGTCAAACAACACTTGTTCTACCCTTTTCACCAAGAGGGTTCTTACTCTATGGTCGGCTTTTTTTTTTTGGTAGGGTTAAGATGGGGTGTCTGTCCAGGCATGTAGTAGTTATGTTAGTGAATATTATTTTTTTCTGTGAAAAGGGCCCCAGAAATGTGGCAAGAAATGCAAAACACCTTTAAACCTATTTGCCGTTATCTGACAGATGAGGTGCTAAATGAAATTTTATTTTCTAAAGAGTGAATTTTAATAATAAGGCTGCTGAGAGTATACTTTATTTCATATGTGTAATTAGAGCTTGTTGGTCCCCTAGTACATATAAGTTTACATTAAATTTGTCTCATATCTTGTTCTTCTCAGGCACACCTCCAATTGAATTTTTAGAATCTCCAGTTACAGTCCGGGACCACCCATTTGTAAAAGCATTTCAGGCTTCATCAAGTTCTCCACAAACAAAGTCAACAGATGGTAATGAAGTCCAGGAGATATTTTTGGGTGTAGTAAATAAGAATATAGGTTGAATCATTTTCTAAGCTTCTTTTCTTCCGTTATTGCTTTTTAATATTCAGTCTAATTTCACATGAATCGGAATCAATTTACTTTCTTGTATACTGGCCAGGACTGAGAAAAAATAAGTGACTCAATCTTCTACTGGGAAAATAGGTAATAGGAGAATAATGAAGATTCTGAAAATACAAATAAATTATAATAAATCTTAAAGATTTAAAATCTGGAACAGCCTGTTGGCTTTGTAGCGATGGGATAAGAGAGCCCTCTAGTGGAAAAACTGACTTTATCTTTTGGGCTCTCCAAACCAAACCAACCTCCCCCCCAAACAAAAACCTCAGACTAAACCAAACTCGCGGTCATGTAGTTGATGCCAGCACATAGCGAACCTGTACAGGGCAGAACTACCTGCCCCTGTGCGTTTGTAAAACTGTAAGGTTCAAAGTCTTCATTTAAAGACCCATTTCCTCCCACGGAACAGCGTGTAGGTTTGCACTGCTGACCTTGCGGTCTCACTGTGCCCCTAAGCTGGATGCAGCCAGAGCTCGGGTTGGGCTCAAAGGGGCTGCCACTGAGTGGCTAGCATGATTTAGTAATTTCTAAATTGAGGATGCACAGACACCATTTTTCAATAGTGACATTCTAATTCATTACTTTAGTGAAATAAAAAGAATAAAAACATTGAAAGTACTCGTGCGACTTAGTAGTTTGTAACGTTTTTCAGGCCAAGTGGTATCACTGTTATATAGAGCTTCAATAATTACTAAGGGCATTATCAGACAGAATGACATGGATTCCTAGCTGGTTATAAACTTTAATAGTGAACTCAACAAAGTGTACTCTTACCGGCAGTAGCTTTGTAGAACAGGGGTGTACTGTATAACATTTGGAGCATGTTTGCCAAGGAGAACGACTCATCTTATGATGCCGTTCTGTCTAAGACAGCATCCCATAGTAGCACCAATTGTCCCTTGAGACCATTTCTGGGGGGAAAAAGATGTTATGGCCCAGCAGGAGAAAAATTTTTTTAATAATTTAGATTTTAATAATATAAATATAGTGTGTGTATATAATCTATATAGTTATCAACTATATATGTATTTTTTCCTCCTCTTGTTAGAAGGCACAAGTAGTCAAGTTTCTTCCGTAAGGAGATCTGAAGAGGATGATACGGCTTTCTTTGAAAGACGATACCAAGAAAGGGTGGGTTGTTGTGGAAATCTGCTTATATTATGCATTTGCTTGCAACAAAGATACTGTAGAATGATTACTTTTTGCTCATGGATCATAATTTAAAATCATTTATAAAGTCTTTACTGATAGCTGATCCTAGGATTTAACATTTATTTATAGTCATTCCAACGGGACTAATGGATGATGTCATGTATAGTAACCAAAACCAAAAGCCAACCATTTTGGAAAGAATCTTTTATTTATTTAAATTTCCTAGCACTAATGACACAGTGTTGCACTTAGTAGTATTTTGATCACTGTCTGCTCACTATTTTCTTTTTTTTTTTTAAGTCATTTTATTGGGGGCTCATACAACTCATCACAATCCATATATACATCAATTGTATAAAGCACATTTGTACATTTGTTACACTCATTATTCTTTTTTAAAAAATATTTTATTGAGGGCTCATACAATTCTTATCACAGTCCATACATACATCCATTGAGTCAAGCACATATGTACACCTGTTGCCCTCATCAATCTCAAAACATTTGCCCTCTACTTTAGCCCTCAATATCATTTGCTCATTTTCCCCTCCCTCCCCTTCTCCCCTCCCTCCTGATCCCTTCATAATTCATAAATTATTATAGTTTTGTCATAAGTTACACTGTCCAATGTCTCCCTCCGCCCTTGTCCATCCCCCAGGGAGGAGGCTATACTTAGATTTTTGTAATTGGTTCCCCCTTCTACCCCACATTCCCTTCACCCTCCAGGCCTCGCCCCTCTCACCACTGGTCCTGAAGGAGTCATCTATCCTGGATTCCCTGTGCTCACTATTTTCTTGAGGATAAGAAATCAAGGGACTCCCGTGGTAGGAGAAAATAAATACCTAAATTATTTATTTTAGAAACTGCCATCAAGTCCATTTCGACTCATCGTGCCCCTTTAGGACAGAGAAATGTCTCTGAGTTTCCGACTTTTAAGTCTTTACCTGAGCAGAAGCCTCCTCTTTCTCCTGTGAGTGGCTGGTGGCTTGAACTACTGATCTTGTGGTTAGGAGCCCAGCCCATAATCCACTATGTCTCCAGGGCTCCTTGTGATACACAACAAAAAAACAAAGGGGGAAAAAGAAAAGAAACCGTGCTGTTATTGAGTCATTTCCAACTCACAGAACCAGCTGGCACCGTGGCTTACACATTGGACTGCTAACTGGAAGGTCAGCAGTTTCAAACTACCAGCTGCCTCTTGGAAGAACGATGAGGCTTTCTACTGCTGTAGAAACGTATGGTCTCGGAAACCCACAGGAGCCAGCTCTACTCTGTCCTTTACGGTCACTATGACGTGCCGGCAGTGAGTCTGGTTTTGAGTTTGGTCAGCTGCGTGAAAGTGGGGAGATCAGTAGCCTTCCCGAGAGGAATTCTGTGTCCATGTTGCTTGTATTCTCTGTAATATTGGTAACATTTTGTGTAGGGAAGAATCTGTGTGACTCTGCTTGGATAATCAAAACCTTTGTGGTAACATGGTTTACCATTAATTTTAGATAATACTGAAGTGTCAAATATTGAATATTTTAGGTATTTATTTTCTCCCACCATGGGAGACCCTTGGTTTCTTTTTTCCAAGGAAAAAGTGAGCAGACAGTAATTAAAAGTCTATTAGGTGCAACATTCTGTGCTATTAGTGCCAGGAAATTTAAAGAAAGAAAACAAAGCTTCCTTCTAAAAACAAGCAAGCAAGAAGGTGTTTCGTCCTTAGCCTGTGTTTCCCGGTTGGAATCAACTTCGCAATGGGTTTGGGTTTGGGGTGTGGCTGTTTCAAGTGAACAAAAGCTATTTTGACGTTATTTATTGTTTAGCATCTTTGCTCTTTTTTGATGTTACCAGCAGTCCCTGGATTATGAACAAATTCCATTCTTAAGTCTGTCTTTAAGTTGAATTAGTAGGAAAGTTGGAATAACAGTAGTTAATCAAGTGTTTGTCATAGCATAACATAGTATAACAGTAATATTTGATGATCATTGCAAAGTAGCCCATATGTGTTATTAAGAGTCATTGTATGTATCTCAAAAATTTAATAAACAGGGTTTCTGATGGTTGGTTTGTGTCTTAGGGTTGTATGTAAGGTGGAACTTTTATAACCTGGGGACAGCCTGCATTACAAATCTAGTATTTGGTCTTAAATGTGAGGGGAAAGGCTAACTAGCATTTTTACTGTTTATTAAGTTTCTAGATTTATATATATATATAATTTACACCTTTAGAACAACCCTGAATATATATATATAATTTACACCTTTAGAACAACCCTGAAACCCAGTACACACTGTCATGGAGTCGATTCTGACTCACAGCAACCTCATAGGACAGGGTAGAACTGTTCCAGTGGGTTTCTGAGACTGTAACTCTTTAGAGAAGTAGGAAGCCTCATCTTTCTCCTGGTGGTTTTGAACTGCTGACCTGGTGGTTAGCAGCCCAACACATAATCATTATGCTGCAATCCTGAAAAGTATGTTATTTCTATGGCCTTTTTTCCCCCCCAAATGAGAACATGTCATTAAATCATTTGCTTCAAATAGTTAGTAAATGGTAAAAGTAGGATTCAAAGTCTCTCTGTCTGACTCCAGACTTGATAATCCGCCTTAGAGTCGGGTGTGCTCTTGGATCCTTCAGGTGACCTGTAATTTGCACGATCTGCATGAGTGACAGGAGTGTATGGTTTCTGAATGAGGTTACCGGTCAACTCAAGAGAGAGGAGAAAAATGGGGAGGTGGGGAAGAGACACAGGGGAGATTAGTTTGACTTTATTCACAGTCATCATGTGGATTCTGACTCATAGTGACCTCATAGGACAGAGTAGCTCTGCCTCTGTGGGTTTCAGAGATCAAATCTTTACAAGAGCAGAAACCCACCTTTCTCCAGTGGAGCAGCTGGTAGGTTAGAACTGCTGACCTTCAGTTAGCAGCCCAATGCATGACCCACTGTGACACGAGGGCTCTGATCTGATTTTATTAAGGGAAATTTATTGCTGATAATTTGATGGGATTGGGTAGCCTGGTTTTCACTGGTCCCTTCTGATTTTTGATGCTTTTTCTTGTTCATTGCCAGGTACTTTATTTTCTCCCCTCCCCCTCTTGTAGACCAAGGGAATTTGTGGGTGTGGATGTGAGTGGCAGGGAGAGGCTGATGGGCTGTGTCTTCTGTGGGGGCTGTTGCACATAGAAAGGTTCCGGGTGCGTCTACAAACCTAGAAAGCTGCTGCTAGGGTGTACGTGCTGCTGCTCCACTTCGGCTACACCAGGCGGAGGAGACTTTCAGGGTTCATGGGAAGTGTGATGCCACCATGGTAGGAAATTAGTGGTTTCCTTGAAGTGCTGCAAATGGTTAGTGGATTTGCTGTTGACCAAAAGGTTGGCAGCTTGAATTCGAGTCCACCCAGAGGTGCTTTGGGAGAACGACTGGGCAGGCTACTTCTGAAATTCCAGCCATTGCTGGAGCCCAGTCCTACTCTGGCACCCGTGGGCTTGCCATAAGTGGCAGATGACTTGATGGCAACTGGCTTATCAGGTTTTTAAAAACCGTCCAGGTTCCACAGTGAATTTGGCTGGATGAAAAGTGTTTCATAACCCTGTAGAAATGTGCACAGGTGGATATGAGGTTAGGTGTTTATCATTTTTTTAAAGTTTATTTTTTTATATAAATCATTTTATTAGGGGCTCTTACAGCTCTTATTTTTATTAAACTATCATTTTGTTGGGGGCTCTTACAACTCTCATAACAACCTATACATTAATTGTATCAAGCACATTTGTACATATGTTGCCATCATTTTCAAAATATTTTCTTTCTACTTGAGCCCTGGGTTATGGTTTTTATTTTTTAACTGGGAACTGAAAATAATTTTTTTCTGAAGCAGGATTCATGTTGTTTTTATTAAAGCCTTTCCATAAAGTTGAAATCAAACCATATTTAAAATATGCCTCTTCAGATATCAATTTCTGGCTTTAATATTTAGCAGCTAATAGCTTGTAAATAACTGTACAAAAGTTGTGATATGTGCAACTTTTTTTCTTTAGAAAATGTTTTAAAAATTACTCTTGTCAGTAATAAATATTTTAAATTTGTAGATGAAAATGGAAAAGGCTGCTAAACAGAAGGGAAAAGCACCATTGCCATCAACTTCAAAACCTTCATGAAGATTATGGAGAAATTGAAACTTAACCAGATATAATTTTTCATGTTTATTTAAGTAGAACAGTTAATTTTTCTCTTAAGTAAATTACTTCTTTTTTTGTCTCAAAGTCTCCTTTGGATACTTCCTTAATTTATATAACTTTTGATTTATTAATTTGTATATACTTTTTATCTCTCAAAAATGAGGTTATTTTTATATGAGCCAAAACATGAAAGGATGTAAATATTTTTAATTTAATATAATTTAACTTTTTATGGCAGCTTCAGAAATTAAAGATGTTAGTGAGGGTTCTGAAGAAATATATAAGCATCATTTTTTCATTTAAAAATGGTAAGTTAAAAATCTTTGATTTTGTACTTTAATATTAATCTGTATTTTTAAATAAAAATGTATGTGGTAAAACTATGTAATCATTTTCTAGTGGCTATTGCTGATTTTTAAGTTCTGTTAATTGTGTGAGTATATCACTCTATTGCATACCTCTTGGGTGCTGTTAGGTTCTATTTCAAATGAACCAACTGTTTTGGCTGTGGCTTACTTTTCGTTTCGCATCTTTTCTCTCTTTTGATGCTTGCCCCTCCAAGCATCAACATCCTCCTGACCCATCTGTCTCTCTGGTTCTGCTGTGAAACTCTTCCAAGTGAGTTTCAGATGGCTTCACCTGAGAGTCATTTGGGAACTCATTGCCTTGGCCCACATGACGAGTCCTTCCTTTGCCAGGGATGTTCTCACAGGTGCCTCAGGATGCCCACTGTAAGCCCTCTTCGTCCTACAGGTGCAGCTCCAAAGGGTGGGTGAACTTCTAACCATCTCCAATGGTGGGAGAACCAGTAGATCAAGGCTCCCCATGTTTTCTGCGGGGAAGACAATTCTAAGATGCATTTCAGAAAATCCTGTGGGATTGAGCACAAGTCATCTCGAGTAGTTACACACCCTCAGTGTTTTCTCTCTCCCGGTTCCACTCCCGTGCCCCTCACTTTGATTCCTGCAGATCACTTCCCAAATAAATGACATGTAATAGGGCTGAGGCTCAGCTCTTAGTGAGGGTAAACACGGGTTAGGATGATAGTACTGGGGGTGGGGTGGCACTTTAGAAAGTAAATCCCACTTTAGGAAGGGATTTTGTGACTAGAACACATGCTGGACTGGTGGGAATTTTGACCTATGATGTTAGTTGGCGTCATCTGTGCACAACAGAACGAAACACTGCCTGGTCCTGCGCCATCCTCACAATTGTTCCTGTGCCTGGGCCCATTCATGCAGCCACTGTGTCCATCCGTCCCATCAATGGACTTACTCTTTTTCGCTGCCACTTTACCAAGCATAATGTCCTTCTCCAGGGACTGGTCTCTTCTGACGATATGTCTGAAGGATATAAGAAAAAGTCTTGCCATAGTTGCCTCTAAGAAACACTCTGGCCTTACTTCCAATACACATTGGATTGTCCTTTTGGCAGTTCATGGTACTTCATACACACACACACACACACACACACACACACACAATACACACACAAGGGGGTACCCAAACACAGAATTTTTCTTCAAAGCTATGTATATAGTTTTTTTTTACAAAACCACCTTATCACATTCAAAGTACTGTCCATTACACAATACATTTGTTCAATCTGTGATTCCATTCTTGGAAACATTTTCAAACTCATCGGTTTGGATGGTTGGCAGCACCTCCCTCATTTTTTTCTTCACCTCTTCTACATTGTCAAATCGCTGTCCTTTCATGTCCTTCTTCATTCTTGGAAACAAAAAGCCTTCACACGAAGCAAGGTCAGGTGAGTAAGGTGTGTGGGACAAGAGAGGCATGCTGTTGTGGCATTCAAGTTGAACGAGAGTCATAAGAAATTATCCAGACCAAGAAGTGGTTAACTCTTACCAACTGCTTTAGAAGCCTTGAAACAGATGGCATTGAGGTCACCCGTTTGTTAGTTTAAAACACGAATGAAGAGTGCCCTTACACCCCTCTCGAGGGACAAGGTCACCTGCAGCTCCAGGGCAGGAGAAGTATGGCCAGGATGCTCCTTAGAGGCGAGGAGGGTGAGACTTTGTCTTACCTGCTATGGACATGTTATCAGGAGAGAACAGCCCCGAGAAAATGACATCATGCTTGGTAAAGTAGAAGGGCAACAAAAAGAGGAAGACGGATCGGCACTGGCTGCAACAGTGGGCTCACACATAACAGTTGTGAAGATGCTATGCTAAGGTCTAAGCAGTGTTCCTTCTGTTGTACAGAGGGTGGCTATGAGTGCTAACTGACTTGACAGTACCTGATAACAGCAGCAACGAGGAGAGTGACATGGGAGCACTCACTCATGACTCAGGCTTTAATGCCCTGGCAAAGATAACTGCAGTCACTCCTAGGAGTTGAAGGTAAATGATGGTGCATAGACTTTATGGTGGAAATGTCAGGTGTTATTTGACCCAATATTAATGAAGGGGTTAAAAAGCTCATGGACGTGGGGACATAGAAAAGATTCATTATGTAAGACTGGAGAAGATACTGTCTTCTATGGGAAGATGCAGGTGACCCTCATGTCGAAGCAAGAAGAAATGTAATGGTAAGGGGCATACTGGCTACTTTGTGAGGGTTGCCAGTGGCTGACCCCCATAAACTAGAGTTGACAGTAGGAAACTCAGCTGTGGAATTTGGCTCCCTGTTATCATTGTGGATGATAGAGGTCAGGCTGTGGAACTTAACTGAGACCTGGTGGTTATAATTACCTTAATTATAGCCACAGTCTATAAATGGTTCTCAACCTTCCTAATGTCGTGACCCTTTAATGCGGTTCCTCATGTTGTGGTGACCACCCAACCACAAAATTATTTTTGTTGCTACTTCATAACTATAATTTTGCTACTGTTATGAACCAGGCAACCCCTGTGAAAGGGTTGTTTGACCTCCAAAGGGGTTGTGACCCACAGGTTGTGAACCGCTGAGGGTAGTAGATAATGATGTTCTAGGGTGTTATTTGACTTATGAATGAGATTAGTTTCCAACTATAAGAATTTGTAGGTACGTAGGAGCAATACACACAGGGCTCTTATGTAGTCTTGCATTAGTATAAGAATCAAAGAACCCTAGTGGTGCGGGTGTGTTGGTCTGCTAACCACACACGGTCAATGATTCAAACCTACCAGTGACCATCGGGTAAGATGAGGCAGGCCATCTGCTCCAATAAAGATGCACAGTCTCAGAAGCGTACGTGAGACTGTGAGTGGCCACTCTGAGAGGGATTTGACTCAATGGCAGTACAAAAGGCTTGATACCATTTCAAGGATCTGAAAGTCACACATGCAGTCAATGAAAGAAATTGTGATGAAGAATTTGATGGGAGCAGTTAGTTCTATCATTTCAGTGTGAGGACTCATTTACATAAGATTAAAGGCCAAGGAAACTGGAATATTGTAACTTGGATGGCCTGAACTGAAGCCCTTTCCATTCCCAAAAAATGGAAAACTGGTAAGCAGAAGACAAGGAGCCCTGGTGACTCAGTGGTTAAGCACTTTGCTGCAAACTGCAAGGTTGGTGGTTCAACCCATCAGCGGCTTACAACAAAAACACCTGCTGATGGATCTCCCATAAAGGTTAACTCGCCACCACTAAGCTGATCCTGACTCAGCGTGACCCTATAGGACCTGAGTAGAATTGTTCTATTGAGTTTCTGAGGCTGTAAATCTCTGCAGAAGCAGATTGCCTCAACTTTCTCTTACGTTTTATGGGGACTTCATCCACATATCATACAACTCAATAGTTCAGCCGTATCAAGAAGAGTTGTACAAACCTTAACTTTCTTCCTTCCATGGAGCAGCTGATGGTTTTGAACTACTGATGTCATGGTTTGTTAGCAGCCCAATGCATAACCCACCGTGCCACCAGAGCTCCTTCCATAAAGGTTACAGCCTGGGAAACTTAGGAGGTTCTGCATCCAATGGAATCACTGAGTTAAAATCACTTCATTGGCTGACCCAACCATAATAATGGAAAAGAACTGCAGCCCCTCATCTAAGGCAGATCTAAGGCAATTCAGATCTAGAGGCCACTGGTGGAAGGCAGAGGTGAAAGGCTTTTCAAGTATATTATGATAAAGAGGCCTCTCTGATCCTTCCTCAAAGGGGCAGTCATTTACATATCAAGCCCAGTAATAAATGGAGTTCTGAGCCAAGTTGATCTCAGGGTGCGAACAATGGGTCTGTCACCACTCCCAGAGCCCCTAAATACATATATGAGGGGATAGCCTCCCCCCCAACCCCCTCCAAAAGAAACAGAAAAAAACAGAATTAAGCTCCACTGGGTAAAGTCTTCATAATATGTATTTTCCCCACTAGGCAAGTATTAAGCAACTTACTCTGAGTGCACCCAGTGGTGTCGCCTGGGAAGGTTCTCTCTGGTCACAGTGAATTTTTTCATAAAAGTTTTGCTTGAGCCTTGTTTTTTTGTGATGCCTGATTTAAGAGAACAGTGTGGTGGTGTGAAATTTTATTTCCAGCTCTGGAAAAATGCCACAGAAACTGAAACTGTTGTGATGTTGAACACAGCATACAAGAACAGAGGTATGGGGAAAACTCAAGTGTACAAGTGGTTTTCTTATTTCAAAAAAGGTGAAATGTTGATTGATGACAAACCTCATTCTGGACATTCACCAACTGCCCGAATAAATGAAAATGTTGACTTGTAGTGCATTTGGAGTTCATTCTGCCAGGTCAGACTGTTAATCAAGCTTTTTATTTAGAGGTTCTGAAAAGATACCATAACAGTGTGCAACCAAAGAAGCTTGATTTGTGGAAGACAGGATACTAGTTTTGCCACCACGACAATGTACCTCCTCACACAGCCATCTCAGTGCACCAGTTTTTTGGCAAAAAGCAGCATGCCTCTCTTGCCCCATGCACCATGTTCACCTGACCTCACTCTGTGAGGCTTTTTTTGTTTCCACGAATGCAGAGGGACATAAAAGGACAGCTACTTGATAATATAGAAGAGAAGAAAAAAAGGAGGGAGGTGCTGCCAGCCATCCAAACCAATGAGTTTGAAAATGTTTCCAAGAATGGAATTGTAGATTTGACAAATGTATTAAGTGTAATGGAGAGTACATTGAAGGTGATAAGATTGTTTGGGGAAAAAATTTAAATACATAGCTTTTGAAAAAAAAATCATTTTTGGTTGTTGTTGTTTTTGGTGTACCCCCTCCCACAGTCTGCTTCCATACAGATTGGCAACCTTGGAAATCCTAAGGAGTACATCTGCTCGGTCCCTAACAAAGCCACTGTGAGTTGGGATTGACTCCGTGG